CTCAGTGGAGCTCCATTTCAATGGAATGCTCACAAATAAAATGTCTTAAATATCGGCATCGAGTATCATTCCATTTGCCCACCTCCCTGAATCCCATTTCAACGCATAACTCATCGCCACGCCAATTATCTGGCATGTTGGGCAGCCAATTTGTATAATTGAATTCTGCTCCGGTGCTGTGCCAAATGTATTTATCAAGTTTTTTGTCAAACTTTCCAGAGGTCCAATATATGTAATCATTGCCAATATTTGGTTTATCGATGTAGCCTAAAATAGAAAAAAATGTTTAAAAGCCCATATGTTTCGAAAAATGAAACCCATAATCTTACCAATTTCTATAAAGAACTGTGTTAACTTCTCCATACGTTCCGCCGTATTCGGAGTGAAGAGCGTCATATTCATATTGCTGCAATACTGAACAGCATCGGACCATTTTAACTGTTAATTTTTAATGCACATTGGAAATTGTGTTTGAAATTGTTAAATAAGTACATACATACATATGAGCATACCAGAGTTGTAAAAAATGCATTAATTTTTTAATGCATAGAATTTTAATAATAATGTAAAAAATCAATGCATTAATTTTTGAAATTTAATGTAAATGAAAATTTAAATGCTCAAAAACATTGGAATAGTAAAGCAAGAAAATTGTCAAAACGATTTTATAAATGAGTGTGTTTCATTTAGTGTGTAAGTATGCATTTCCACATTTACATTAAACCGAAAATTCAATAAATAAAATGAAGCTGATTCTAATGAGATTTTAAATATTTTCATATTTACAGAAACTTTCATTTCAAAGATGTTGAGTTCTATCAAATATGGTAAATGCATACCAAAGGGTTAATTTCTTTGTTTACATTTTTTGCCATTACAGCCAGGTATGAGAGAGCTCGACTGAATTGTCACTTCTACCTTGTTGAATATGCCGTGATTGCACGCAAAATGTATTAAACAAGGTGTGATTGACAACTCAGTGCGGCTCTCTTTTAAGGTACTATAATGTCAAAAAGTATAAACAAACGAATTAACTCTTTGTGATGCATGTATCTTGTCAGCACTGATGCCCTAGGCTTTTATTTCGATTATAGTTTTGTTTTATTTACATTACTTACATTACATATATGTTGTCAATAAAATAAAACAAATTGTTTATAAAATCGTTTTAGCAATTTTCTTGTTTTTAATTGCCCAAGTTTTATGCTTTTGTGGGTTTATATTTATATTTAAATTTTTTATCCTAAACATTATTCGACACTTATAAAAGTATGATTTTATATTTGTTTCCAATTTTATATGTGAGCTTAACTCTAACAAATTTGATATTAAATTTTTTTCATGCGAAATAGTTTTCCATTAAAGACTTTGCTTCGAGCGGTTTTAATTTAAGCTCTTCCATACTTGCTTGCATGGTTTTAGTTATTTCGGTAAGCCGAAATATTTCTGTTCGCGCCGTGTATTCTAAAGAGTCGTCTGTTTGAGTTTGGACATCAACAAAGACTGTATCCTGATCGCGTACTAAATCCTCACTGCGCCTGGGTATAAACGAGCTCGTTTGAAAGTGCTTGATTCAGACGGACAACTAATGAAATCACTATCCTTGAAGTGGTTTTCACAAACCCGAGATGAATCACGTAGTACAACACCACAGCTTTCTTCCCACCGCTGTCGTCTTAAATCGCAACTAGGTGGTTTAAAACATCGCACTATTTTCGTTTCCTGACTTTTATTGCATACAGGGCACCGTTCAAACGTTTATCTCTTAACAATTTCACGTTTATTAAGAAAATTTGTTGCTTGAAAAATTTGTGTGTATTTTTTTAAACAAATTCAAATTTAAAAAAAAAAAAACATTTTCAAATGGGTTAACAATTCATTTAAATTTGACATTATGGCAGTTTCTTATGAGAGCAATGTCAAAATTAATCACACTTTGTTCAATACATTTTGATTGCACGCAAATTGCTTTCATTTTCATAAAATATCTAACAATGTCAAGAAGAATTTTTCTTCAAATAAACATGATAGAAAGAAGCTGAAAAAAATATTAGTAATTATTCGAAGTCCTTTCAAAAGAGGTTATTTATATTTCACTAGAAAATAAATTTAATTGTTTTTATCAATGCAAACAAAAAAAATTATTAAAAATTTTAATGCATTAAAATTTTTTCATTTGCATTATTATTTAGTGAAAACAATTTTCATTAGCGTTGAAATTTTTATTTGCATTCAATTTTAAAAACTAATGCATTACTTTTTTTAGCTTAACATTAATGCTTTAAGTACCATTAATGCATTAAAAAATTAATGCATTTTTCACAACTCTGGTGCACACTACAACTTGTGTACCTTCACTTTATCCACGATTATAAATCTGGTCAAACCTAGATCAAGCGTAGTCTCTGCAATAGATTTTAAACATAAAACAGATGTTTATAAACGAAGTTGCATTGAAAACATAAACAAAATTCCCTTTTCTTTAGGCCTGCACATTTAGAGATGCACATACTTTCTTTTGCTATAATGCTGGTAATTATTGCGAATAATATAATTGTTTTCAACATTTTTCTATCAATTTCGAAGCATTTACTTCAGATGAAAGAACTTTAAGCGATTGTACCGTTCTGATTATCAACTTAAACTCTTGTGGCCAGCAAAGTAGAATTCATTTTTGATAATTTAAAAGTGCATGATTGTATACATATGACGGCATATACATCCATACATATGTACATACATTCTTGAGTGTATAAACAGTTCAAAAGTGATAAGCGTAAAAAAAATTAATTTCTTACACATTTGGCTTAACAAAAAACGACTTAAGAGTCCTATATAATTCTGTTCTGTTTTATTAATCATATGCGCGTATAAATATATACTTATACATATATGTATTTGCAAATCTAAATATGTATATTTGTATGAAAATTTACGTATGTACGTATGAACTTATGTGTGTATATACACTTTAAAACCGGTTTCAGCAGCGCATCAAATAATATGGGTCATTATAAAAAAAATTTAAATTGGACTTAGTCACTCACATACATATGTATATGCATATGTATGTATATACGTACATATCTTACATATGTAAGTGTATGTATACATTTTCTGCTATGAATGAAGCCAACACGATTTCAATTGAAAACTTGCATACAGTTGGGTTTGATTCTTTAATTTTTGTGTCCTTTCAAGTGCAATTCATCCGGATTTATTTTAGCTTGACAACGTTCTGCGTAACGGTGGCAACTGTGATTTGGACAACATTCCGAACTATTTTTGCAAGGATCTCCATGTCGACCGCAAGATTTTTCCTAAACCAAAACAAAATTAAATAACATTCATACTTATTAGTTATATAAATTGTTTATGTGTTTATCACTCACTTCAGCATTGGTAAAAGTGATCAAGCTCAAAACGCACAACACCAGCAAGAAAGAATATTTAAAGCCCACGAAATGCATTTTTATATTAGTAATACTATGGAAAGAGAGCAACTGTGCTTCGTCAATAAGGTGTTAATGAAAACAGACTAAACGCTTAAGTCCGTTTCAAATCTATTTTATATAAGAACATGATTATGAACTGAACGACTTATCAGTAAGCTTGTTCATTCGGAAAATGGGTGTCGTTGTAATAAGCGACTGTTGCCGTTTCGGTAGCATTCGTTTTTGCAAATATTTCTTTCCTGAGAATAAGAGGGGTTTTTCTCTATATACATATGTATGTATGTATTTATGTATGTTCATTAGGATGGATCGCGAATAAAATGAGCGTAACCTTAAGTTCAAAAGTTACAGAAACTTCCAGGATTTTGGCACAATAAATATTTCCGACCCAGCTATCGTTTTTTTTTTTTTAAACCGATTTTGTTAAACGATTTGCTAATTAAATTTTTTGTTGATAGCCTTTAGGAAAATATTTTTAATAAAGTAAATATTTCGTTTTCCGGAATTTTTAAGTGATTTTTAATAAATTTTCGAGTCGAAGACATATAGAAAAGTAACTTTTTTGAGAAATAGCTTTATAACATGTCTTATTAAACGCATATAAAAATTTTAATAATAAAGAAAAAAAATAATGATTTGCTAATTCCTCAACCGAGTTTTTGGGTAACGACGCCGGGTACGTAGACCCGACTGCCGTGGGAGAACCTTCCTCACCGCAGCTTTCACCAACAGTTTAAGTGAAACTCGCCGTTAAGACAATGGGCCGAGTAAATAAAAAAAAAGCAATTACTTTTTCTTAAAATTTCAGACCTTTGGCTCGCCTTCGACTACACAAGTTGAATAATTCAGAGTCATGACGGGAGTCATGTTGGTGTAACTAACACATATTTATTTTCACACACACATTCAAACCGACTCACGAGACAGACGCACTGCGTATGCCGCCTATAATAACACAGGTCCACAAAAAAAAATCGGTGACAGGTTCCTTTGACCACGTCTGGACGTGATGGAGCAAAACGGACTTCAGATTCGTGTTCAGCGACCCCAAAAACATATAACAGACTAGGTTTGGTTAAAGGAACCTTTCATCGATTTTTTTTATGGGCCTGTGTAATTAAACAAGTAGTTTTTAAGCAAAAAACAAAACCGACTTTAATTCTCATAAAATTTAATATTATTGTTCATTTCTTCATGATATAATGATCGGATTTAAACCAAATTAGTATGGGACCACATGTGTAACAACTTTCCTTTAAAAGGAGAATTATAGAAATCGGTTAACTTGGTCCAAAGTTATGCGGTAGCATACATCAAAAAATAAATAAAAATATTCAGACGAATTTCCATTTTTGAAGACGGTTAAAAAACTTCTTTTTCTTAAAATTTAGTTACTAATATAGGATGACACAATGTTTTTGAAGGCGTAGCTTTAGAAAATTATTGAAATAGTAATACTTCTAGCTCGATTTCAAGACATGCTAATTTTAAAGTCAGCGAACTAAATAACCATGTTTGGTTCAAATTAATATAAGCTTTCCATTCATATTCATATACATATTTGGCCTTGAAAGCATGAGTTTTAATTCGATGCAGATTGTGTTATGCATAAAACAAATTTGCATTTAAGATTAATAACAGTTGTAAACAAAAAAGTTTCATATTAACTCATTAAATTAATTTTGCATTAAATACATATGTATGTAATTATCTGCACCAATACAAAACGATGCCCACTTTCATTCAACTACCGTCTGCGTTCGCCCTTAACAGTTTTACGCTTTTCCTTCTTTTCCTCGCGCATTTGTTTTTGCCGCTCCCGATCTTCTTTATCCTTCTGCTTCTTCGCTGCGCTTTCCAAACGCGCCTGCTCTCGCTTTTCTTTTTGCAATGCCATCACATCCTGAACATTCGTGTTGCGTTCAATTCCAGTTGCTCCCGTATTTGTTTTTTCGACTTCCTCCTCTGACTCATACGCATCTTCGTCCTCAACTTCCGTCTGTTAAGGCCAAATTGCAGTTATATTACAATATTTTACTTAATGTTTGTGTTTATTTACCTGTGAATATTGCGCCAAAATTTGCTCGCGAATTTTTCTCTCTTCATCTGTGTATTCACGCTCCTTTACAATGGTTTGAAGTTTCTGCGCTTCTAGCAATTTGGCCAATTGCTCATTCACATCAACGTGTACAGCTTTTTTCACTTCTTCCTTAGGATGTGTCTTCTCCCATTTCTCAAGTAATACATTTATAAGAGCATCGAGATCGTTGGTCTACATTATTATTTAAAAGAATATATGGGAAATGTGTTTGACATGCATTTTAATTAAACTAACTTCAAGCGACATACAATGATTTCTCCGAGTATATCATTGAGCGCTTCACGTTTCTCTTCAGGTGTCTCTTCCCCTTCAAGTATTCCTACTATATAGGAGCCAAAGATGTCTGGATCTGTATTCAGAACCTTAAGTTGGCCTTGCAGCCACGTTGTGAACTCATCCGTAGACTTTTTATTTTTCTGCATTTTGGCAGCTTTAATCGGTATTTCCAGCTAAATTTTATTCAGTCTGTTAAACTTGTTGCAGATGCCGTAATTTTTCTAAATATTTGCTATTTTTGGTATTTTCCGGCTTGCCNCCCTTGTGCACAAGTGCGCTCGGCTATAAAAACTACATTCAGAATTTGTCTTTTATGAAATGCCGAAGAAATTCAGCTGCGAGCATGCAGCCTGTTACTGCCCGTCTCCGCAGGATAAAGTTTATATCTTGATACATATGTTAGAATACAAATAGCCAATGGAGACCGCTCATTGCTCTTCAAGAGCAATATATATTAGAGCTTATATCTTGCCATGCACGAAAACTTCGAGCGGCATCATTATTGATATTTTAATATAAAAGCAAATATTGAGCTGTTTTCCGTTAAAATATTTGATATTATGTAATTGGATGTAAAATAGCCTAATTTCTAAATTTTATAAGTGATTTAATCCTGCAAAAATACGTTTTAGAAGCTATTTCACAAATGCTTATATCAAGATATAAAAAGCCCACACAAATATTGCTACTGATATAACTTATATCTAGCGACCAAAATGACAGCTGGAAAGCAATATATGAGCAATGGAGACGGCCAGTTAGAAATATATCAACGTACCACGGTGCAACATACAGGCTGAATTTCTTTATTCATTTTGAACGTTTGGAATAAACTTTTTTGTTTACTTATTCTTTAGAACGTTCCTGATGATATGTTAACGTATATTTCAAAAGCATTTGGGGTGTTCACAGTTCGTTCCAAATTGTGTCTGAAAATGTAGACGTCTACATTTTGAGACATCTTTAGCATCAAACTGTGAGCGCCCCTTTCTAGCAGTCGTCGCAAAATCGTCTCAAACCTTTGCTGGTGTTGCCAGACATTTCTTCCTTGCGTGCATTTTTTATATGTCGCCTTTCGATTTTGTTTCTGAAAAATTGTAATTATTTAACTTAATTACCAATTCGTAATATTTGTTATTTCTTTTCCTTGATTTGTTTCTTTTCATCAGAAATTGCGCTCAAATTAAATGCAAATACAGAAAACGTGCCCAATAAATAAAAAAAATGTGATTAGTATTGCCATAATGCAACCCTGCTGCGAGGTTGCAAAATGTAGACGCGTAAAAAACATACCTTTGAGTGTGACAAAATGTAGACGGCGTCGTTTTCCAATTTTGTATGGGAAACAACAACACCACAGATTTTACGGTTAGAAAACGTCTTAAAATGTAGACGTCTACATTTTGAGACGCTATTTGGAACGAACTGTGAACACCCCAATTCTGTTTATTCCGGCTGTGAAATGGGATTATCCGGAATGTATAAAGAAACGCAGCCACAGTTTCATAGGACTCTGTCACACGGTCAGTAATTATAACGATATTTGGATCGCGCACGGATGCTACATGTTCAATATTTATCGCGTCAGTATTTGCATAATTTTTGTGCTGATCGCTTATTATGACGCAAGAAAATATATTTATTTTGTGTGAATAATTTACAGATAATGCATTCTACAATTATTTTAAAATTGTCAATGTTAATTAAAATTGTTTCCAATTTGTTTTGAAAGGTTAGTTGTCGGCATATCGTAGAAGATGCAGAAACGGTTAAGTACGGCACTGTCGTTTGCTAATCGTTGTGCACGCACTGACGATGATGCAACTATGATTGGACGACCAATGTGCAGAAAGCCTAAATGAACATAACGTAGATTTGTGCTTTTATGTTGTATAGGCGTTCATTGCTTTTCACAAACTTCAGAAATATTATATTACGGTGTGTATAGCCGTCATCTTAGTTAACATCTGGTAATATTTACATGGCAACGTTTTAGGCAACGTAAAGTTACGACCGTTATTTTACGTTACCGCTTTCGAGGAAACCAAAGCTTAAGTCATTTAAAAAAAGATGATATAATATAAACAACATGTATATCTCCTCAAACAAAGACTGTCGGTAGTGGCCAACGACAATTCGATAGTGCAAATTAATAGAATAGATAGTACCATCGATATCAGTGTTTTCCTGTGGAGGCAGGGCCTTATGCATCTGTTGATAGGCTTGGAATTTTGTCTTTGAAACGCCACACTTTTCTTTGAAAACGCTTCATATAACCTGAACACAATGAAAACGAGGAGCTACGGACCACAGCTGTCAAATTATTTTAACACGTACCAAAGAACGTAAATCTATAAGAGGAGACAACACGTTATAATTGTAGCGAGTGTGAACATCAGGAGCGTGCCTTCTCTTTTCATCCAATCACAAA